ATCACCAACCAACCGACCCTAACATCGGACGGCCAATGCCATCCACCCCTATCCTAACAATATTTATTGGTTTTTTACCAAACTTGGATGAGGTGCTCAGAGTTTCGAACTCTATCACTATTATGAATTTCACAAAAAAAGAAATAGTGTGATAGTTGTGTGCCTTATTTAAGGGGATAGAATATTCACCTGATCTAAAGATCAAATCTCTAATTATTAATAACTAATTCATACTAATTTTTTAATTATTATTTTTATTAAAAAATAAAAATAATTTAATTTTTTTAAATAAAATTTTAAATTTAAATTTTATAATTAAAAAAATAAATATATAAAAAAAATTTATATAAAAACAAGCCGATTCAACTCCGAATTAATCAAAACACAAATGGCATTTTTCGATAATTGGGGTTAGTGAAAAAGAAAAAGAAAAAGAAAAGACGCCTAAAAAACGTACGGCCAGCGTTTGCCTACTTATAATAAGAGACACTCCTTAATGAAGTTCTCCTCTTCAACGACGAGGAAACAACCGGGGCCAATTTCGTTGGCGGAATACCTGAATACTGTTGTAAATGGAAGTTCTGTTATCGTCGTTGATGCCCAACCTTGCTTCGACGGCGACCACGACGACGTCATTGTTAGGTTCGAGTGGCACTTATTCTTCTTCTACTGTAAAGCTAGTGTGTGAGTTTCCGGCGAGGAAGCGCAGAGTCAGTCTGGATGTAGAACGATTTACAATACGCTGCGCAAAGGCTTCCGCGGAGCGGAGCAGTGAAGCGATCGAAGAGGTAGAGAGCACGCGCGGATTCAGTGGAAGCGCTATGGAGGTCACTACGCTGGACCGCGGCTTCGGTGATGCCAGGGATTACGCTGTTTGGGAGAAGATTGGTGCTGTTGTTAGACTTAGCTATGGAATTGGTAAGTTGTTCTTTTTGTGGAAATAGTTGAAGTTGTTTTAACGATGAAGCAAAGATGCGAAAAGTCATCTTCTCGTAAAGGCAGAAAAGCTATATGAACTTTACTGATCTTTTCACCTTTTTGTTCTGTGTTTTGTGGAAGCAGGGATATACGGAGCAATGGCTTTAGCAGGGAGATTCATATGTTCAGTCACTGGAATTGATTGCATGGGTGGTTTTGATCTATCATTAGATGCCATTGTTGAAGGACTTGGCTATGCAGCTCCTCCAATCATGGCCCTTCTCTTCATACTAGATGTATGCTAATTAATTGCTCATTACTTTACAATATTATTATTTTTTTTCCTAATTTGAGTGTGCTACAATTGCTAATTGAAATTTCATGAGTATTATTACTATGAAAACTAATTAAAGGGCTTTTATAGAGAGGTGTCCTGAATGTTGTTGTGGTAAGTACTTCAAATAATGAGAAACCTAGAGGAGTGGTAATGGTTTAGCCTCTAGAAAGAAAGGGAGTATTGGGGTTGGGGCTTCTTGTGTTATAAGGAGAAGGAATTACAGTGAATAGCTTCAGTTTATTTGTTGTACTTGGGATTTGTGTTGTGAACTAATTATTGTGGCTACAGGATGAAGTTGTGAAGTTATCACCCCATGCTCGTGCTATTAGAGATGTGGAGGATGAGGAATTGAGGAGCTTCTTTTATGGAATGTCTCCTTGGCAGGTAAATAATTTGGTGTGTGTTGGCTTCTTAGTTAGGAAGGGACTTATTTTACTCTGCATCAACTTTTGCAGTTCATATTAATTGTTGCTGCCAGTTCTGTTGGAGAGGAGCTTTTCTACCGGGCTGCTGTTCAGGTCTGTTACCATAAATTCATTATCTTTTCACCGAAATCCTATTATGTGATAACTGATAACTAAACAAATATATCATCATTCTTTAATTACCTGTAGGATATCTGTCAAATCTTCACAAATACAGTGCAAATATCTGATTGTAACCTTCCCCACACCCTCCCCCTCCCCCCCAAAAAAAAGGGAAAAAAAGAGTATCCTCATGGTTGCATTTGTTTTAGTATTATTACAGTCTTTGATGGAGTTTGGAAACTTAGTTCATTTATTGAGCACCTAAAATTCGAAATATATGAACAATTATTCCCTTTCCCAATTGTTTTTGCCTCATTTTGATTAAACATTGTTTTTAAGGATAAAAAATGGAGGGTTGCATGTGTAAAGGGACAGGGTAATATTTGAAAGTTGTTAATGTGCTGTCGTCCCAGTAGCAGCAGAACACTTGGAAAAATTAAAAACGGGAAAGTTGATGAAAATAATGAATCAGAGGCAGTATATAACTTCTTTTGAAGCTTGTTTTAATATTCTTAATGAAAGTTCTGAACTTGTATGCTTCTTTTGGGTTGCCTTATGGTCCTAAACAGCGTAGTACTTCTTTTGTGTTTTTTCAGGGAGCATTGGCTGATATATTCCTGAGGGGTACTGATTTGTTGACAGATTCTCGAGGAATGGCATCCCTTGTATGTTTCCTGTTCTATGGGTCCTTCTTTCTTCAATGTAGTAATACCTAGGCCTTAATTTTGGTGGCCCCATGATGTTATACCAGAAACAAGCTTTTCCACTTCATATACACTTACCCTTCTGTCCGTATGTTTTAGAGACATTGAATTGAAAAGAAAATAGACTATACCGGGAGGGTAAGTTTACAAAATGTGGGGTGGTAAAGTTTAATTTCAGGACAGCCAATGGTGTGTTCAGTCATACTGAATTTTCTTTTTTCCAACTAAATGATGCTACCTTTTTCCAAACTGTAGACTGGCGTGCTGCCTCCTTTTGTGCCATTTGCTCAGGCATTTGCAGCTGTCATAACAGCTGCTCTTACAGGTTCTCTCTATTATATGGCTGCATCTCCAAAAGGTAGGTTTACTTCCTATACTTTTTGAGGGATTATTTATTATCTACAAGGTACAAGGGATATTTACTTTGTTGTATTGCCATTTTAACCTTTCAGATCCTACTTATGTAGTTGCACCAGTTTTAGAATCGCGCTCTGCTCGTGAAGAAGTTAAGAAGCTGTTTGCAGGTTCCAGCTTTGCTGTATTTTTTATTTCCCTTAATTTTTCTTCTTGTTTTAGTCTGCATTAGCCAGCTATATGTGCATTTGAGTCTACTACCCTCACTTTGATTATTGCGGTAATGGGTCCAGTTACATGATTAATTCATTCTTTTGGTTGGAATTTGGCAATACGCTAAGGTGTAAGAATCTAAAAGCAAACTATTCTAAAGAGGAAAGAACTTAAAAGGACAAAAGGAAACAAGAATACGCCTCTAGATCTTCACTGGAAGGTCTGTGTCCTAGAAATTGTTGGGAGAGTGGCTTGCATAAATAGAGAAGTGATACTTCTAGATGCTGTCTTTCACCTTGTAAGCAACTACCAAAGTTTCCACTTTCCAAAGTATTCATTTCTTACCTTCTCTGTTAAACATTTTGCAGCCTGGTATGAGAAGAGACAAATGAAAAAGATCTACTCCCCTCTTTTGGAAGGACTGTTGGCCCTCTACCTTGGCTTTGAATGGATCCAGGTAACTTTTGTTGCTCAGTTGAAATTGATAACTTAATTTCAAGGAAATGGAACTGACAGAGTTAGCCTCTTGTGCAAACTGTGACAGACGGATAACATTCTTTCTCCCATGATTACACATGGTATATACTCTTCCGTTATATTGGGACATGGCCTTTGGAAGATACATGACCATCGCAGAAGGCTACGCCAGAGAATCCAACAGCTTAATTCAGAAGGAAAGAACTCAAGTAAACTGCAGAGGAGGTCTTGATGGACAATAACAGAGCATGGAGGAAACTTGTATATTACATGCAGAGCCGATTGTACATTATGAATTCTGTATAATGTAGAAATATGTATACAATCAGTATATTCTGAGGAAATCTGTAACAAGCACATATGATGTATACATAGACGCCGAAAAATCAAAGCCTTTTATTTGGATAAAAATTACTAAAGGAATGAAAATTAGTAAAAGAAGAGAAAGGAAAAGGAGGGAAAAGGAGAAGAAATGAAGGTAAAAATTAGTGTTAAAGTAATACACTGTAAATCCACCTCACCACTCAATTCCCACTTTCTCGACACCCACCGTTGGTCCACTTAGTGCCAAAACTAACAATTTCCGACAGAAAACAACAAAAGGGGAGAAAGACTTATAACTTGATAGGCCATGCATTATTACCTTTTATTATATAACTAATTATATTGTGTCTCGATTTATATGGTAAAAAGTAAAATTTTATAAGTCATATGCAATTTTTATTAGCTTTCCCAGATTCTTTTTCCTGGAAAGCGGCCAACCAAACAGGCCCTTTCTGTTAAACATTTTGCAGCAGCCTGTTATGAGGAGACAAAGGAAAAAGATCCACTCCCTCTTTTGGAATGATTGTTCGCCCTCACCCTTGGCTTTGAATGGATCCAGGTAACTTTTATTGCTTAGTTGAAATTGACAAATTAATTTCAAGGAGATGGAACTGACAGTAGGGTTACAACTAAAAGAAATTGAAGTTCATTTTGTCCTGCTTTACAACTATAAGAAACTGTTTGCAAGCCATGTCTAGTTCATATATCAATCCTCCAACTGTGAGATGACGCTCACAAATACATCATACCCTTGGCACATATCAGAAAGAAGGCAGTACTCATTCTTGGCATGGTATGTGGCCATTAAACCTGCAAAGATTTTCCAAAAGACGGGAGGATCAGTCATATCTATAATCTACGTTGTGTTCTAAGAATAAGATATCCTGGATTTATAGCTGTTTTGCAAGTGAATTAGTCAAAAAGTAGTAATAGGATCGTACCATAGCCAGTGGTCTGAACATCAAAACCTTCATCCTGCCATAAAGAACCAAAAGTTTAACTAAATGCAAAACTATTTAAAGATGGCAACATGCTAATACAAGACATGTGGCTCACCTTCAGCTCCCTAATGAGTGGCAATCCTCCTGTTATCGAGTAGGGTTTCACATTCCCAACTACCTCTTTAGTTGCTTCACATAATACATGAAAGCCACGAGAATCAAGATTGCAAGCAACACCAGACATGGTCTCGTCAAAAGTTATTGTAAGGCTGTGGAAAAGGATGACACAGAAAGGTGATTCTTCTAGATGAACAAATATGGTCAATGAAAACCTAATAACTAAGTCTAAAACAAAGTTGTGAAGGTTTAAGGTTAGAGAGAGATACAACACCTTCCCCTAATATTTTCATCAGGCAGGACATATTTGGAGACTGGACCCCTTGTATCTAGCTTTTCTATGTTCTCATTAATGTCATTCACATATTGTTGTAGCTTCTGCATAACATCTTTTACACTGCAAGAGAGAACAACAATATTTGAAAACCAAAGGGAATTGCCTAGGCATTGCATTTGGTTATAAAACCCATGTCAACACTGATAAGATTTTACAGATAACAGAAGCATGTCACTTACTCATAGAATGGAGTTAACCTGCAAGCCAGACCCACAAAAGAAAGAAGTCAGCAATGGTTAGAAAACATTTATGTCACTAGCCTCAACAATCACTCTCTGACAACTGTTCCAAAAAAAGAAAAAAAAACTCTTTGACAAGGTTAACCTGACATCTCCTGATATTGTACACTCTGCTGGAATTTGATTGATTCCACCTCCTGGATCTGCAATTAACAACTTCATAAGTGCATGAACTCTTATTTTCAAGAATAACACATAATTTTGAGGCTCAACACTTACAACTCCATTGAGTTGGTTTCATAGTTGATGGTGTAGCAAAACTGTAGACCTGCTCCTTTGGATGAGGTGGAAAGTCCTTATAAAACCGTAGTTGGATTACTTTAAGTGCTTCCATGCCCAGCTCTAGTGGATTTATAGCCTGCAGACATCATAAAACATGGAAATTGATTAAAAAAAAAGGAAAGAAAAAAATATTTCGGTTCTTTTTTAAAAAACGGTTTCTCAATAAAACAGTTAGATGATCAAGACAATAGATAATGTAATGGAGTATAGTATACCTTGTGCGGTAAACCACTGTGAAAAAGCTTCCCTTTCACATGAAGCTTCCAGGGTATCATACCACCAGTACCAATACAAGGTTGTTTATCTGCTGTGTCAATCCAGAAACTGGGAACATAAAACCACATCCAGTAAATGAATTCTAGTATCCATCAGAAATTAAAAAATGGAAAAATAATGTCAAACATCCATAATCTTCAACAAAGAGATTATTCTTCAGATATTATACAAGTAATGCAAAGCGCTTACAGAGGCCCATTTTTCAGCTTATCAAGCAGCCTATCTTTGACTAGTGCATCAACACCAACAGCTGTTATGGCTGAGTTCTCTTCATTAGCTATGAAGACTGCAACAACAGTTGATTTCAGTTTTGGTTTTGTCTCCCCTAGCTTCCTCATTAGCTCAGTTACAAGGGCAACATGGCCCAAACAATCAGTGGTTCCACGACCCCGTAGTTTATCTCCATCAATACTCAATGAGAAAGGATCAAAATCCTGCAAATAAGTTATTAGATGATGCATAACCATTACCACAACACATCCGCCTTGCTAAATTCCTAATAGAAAATTCTGCTAAGAAATTCATAATTTGATATCAATCCCCACAAATTATAAAGCTAGAGCCTTGATACAATCCCAGAAATACAGAATGAAAATCCAATTTTAATTATCCTCAAATAATTTATCCTATCACACAGCTATAAAAAGTTATTAACTTTAAAACACAAACAATCAAAATCCAGAAATTTCAGTCCCTAAAACATGAGGTGAGAATCATAAACAGAAACAAAACAAGAGTAAAAGACAGGAAATTAGATCCAAAAGCTATATAAGACAGAGAGATGACAAAAGGCATACATACATACCCAATCGTTTGGATTAGCAGTGACAACATCCATATGCATTCCCACAAAGGACAAGATCTTGTCAGATTCAGTCCCGGGATACTCCACTATGAGGTTGCCTCTGCCAGGGAAGTAAGTGACATGATTAACGATCAAAGGCCCTCCACCAGTGGTGGTGCTGTAAGGAAGGAGAACATCCAGTAAATGGTTGACCACCTTGTCTTCCTCAGGGATCAGCTCTGGTGGGTTGTTTTGAACGAATTTGGACTCTCCGATGAGCTTGGTGAGGAGGGACACGAAGGAGTCCTTGTCGAGGCTGCCTAGCATTTGTTTCACGTCAAAGGATGCCATTGAAGAGCGACGAGTGCAGGCAGGTAGGCAGGGCGGTGTTTTCTGTTTTGTGGGAGAGGCGAGATGGGCAGCAGTCAATATAACAGGGGAAAAACTAAAAGGGTTTGTTTATTATTATTTTTTTTTTAAGAGAAAAGAAGGAAATTAACATATCTTAATATTAAGAATACTAAAATATTTAATTATAATTATTAAATATATAAAATAAAATAAAAAATTTTAATTTTATTAAATATATTATGTAATTATTATTGAATATTTTAATTTTTTTTAATGTTTTGTACAAGTTAATTGTAAAATGGATAATGAATGTAAGTGATTTAGTAAATGTACAAGAAAAATTCAAAATAAAACGAAAAGAAAAATTTATGGTCAACGAGAGAAACTTTCGGGAATTACTTACGTTAGCTTTACGATTCGTAGGATCCCCCTGTCCTGTCTCCGTCGGGTTTTTTGGTTTTATTTGGTTACATAATAATAGATTATTATTTTTTATTTTATTTTATTTACATGTTATATAATTTTTTAATAAAAAAATAATTATTAAATTATTTAGATTATTGATATTTTTATCTAGTTTATTGCTAATTGAAAGAAACGATCTTAATTATAATTAAAAAAAAAAACCTACCAAGTTTATTTTTGCAAGTAAATAAATCTTCTTATGTAATTAAGTTTAAAATTTAAATTTTGAAATTTTTATATTGGGAAATTAATATTTTTCAATTTATTAGACTAATTTAAAATGTATCATTAATGGTAAGTTTGTTTGAGGGTAATGAAGATGATAAGAAAATTTTTTAATTAATTAAATTAAAATATTAAAAATCATTATAATTCAATTGGTTAAAATTTTTTTCTTCAATTTAAATATATTACTAGAATTAAAATAATTTTTTATTTGAAAACTAACACAAAGACATTTTAATGTAAATATCAAACAAAAATTATAATTACAAAAAATATTTTATAATTTATATCATACAACTAAAATTAATAGATGAGGGATGGTCTTGGGTGATTATCTTTCTATTCATTGATTTTTATATTTTGTATATGGAATTTTAACACAATTTAAACTATAAAATAAAACAATTATTTTATTTTTTATTTATGGCAAATCATTCACCTTACAACAAGCAATTACGGCATTGCATTGCAAGCAAAGGAGGATGCATATGTTTGGCGGAAACAAATGGAGAATTGAGGGTTCTACAAATTAAATGATTCCTTTCTAGTTATTTCAAGTAATTTTGTTTTCTCTCTTTTTTTTGTTTTTTTTCTTAACTCTAACAATTTCATTTTCAGTAGGACCACATTAATATGGTGCACAGATGAAGCTTTAAAAATGTTTATCTTAATAAATACAGCAGATAGGTAGATATTAAGATTAAAAACGGTTTGTCAGTAACCTAAATAGTTTAATAGTCATTTTCGTCTGTTGGAAGTAAAAAATTATAAATTAAAGTTGCATGACATGCAAATAAATTAAAATAAGAGACGAAAGATGATTATCTCTCATTATACAAGCAAGATAAAAAAAATTAAATATTATTTATCTCAAGTCAATAAAAAAATATTTATCTTAAATTTGGGGTTCTTTAGTTCTTTTTTTAACATCGCATGATAAAGGGATTTGGTGTTGAACTGTGGATAGAATTTCGTAAGACTTTGGAGGATGGGAAAAGTAATTCATTGATCACATATATTGTGTTTTTGCGTGCAGATCCTTACTTACTTGTGCAAATCATATAGGGCAGTGATGG